TTTTAGAAGAAATGCTCTCAGTTTTTATCTGTTTATATAATGTTGGCAATAGATTTGTTAGATAGAGCTTTTATTATGTTGAGGTATGTTCCTTCTGTTCCTGCTTTCTTTGGAGCTTTTATTATGAAGTGATATTTAATTTGTCTACATCTTCAGAGATGTGATTTTTGTCTTATCTGTATACTGTAATTTATTGGCTTGCATATGTTGAACCACTCCTGCATCCTTGGATTGAAACCCACTTGATGGGGATATATGGTGTTTTTATGAGTTGCTGAATTCACTTTGTAAGCATTTTATTGAGAACTTTTACATCTGTGTTCATCAGGGAAGTTGGTGTGTAGTTTCTCATTTTATTTTGTCCTTATCTGGTTTTGGTAGGAGTAGACTGGCTAGTTCCACAGAATGTATTTGGTAGTATTCTGATCCTCTCTGTCTGTGGGGTGCTTTCAGGTGCTTGCTGTTTGTTCTTTTTTGGAGGTCTGTTAGAAGGAAACCACGAAGCCATCTACTGTGGGCTTTTCTGTTTGGAGGGCGATTGCTGCTTCTGTCTCATTTCTTGCCAAGGCATTTGCTTGCTTTATCTTCTTGAATTGGTTTTGTATGTCATATATGTCAGCCATCCTCCTAGCCCCCAAAGGCTGTTTTGTGAAGAATCTTCTCGCTACATGGCTCCTGGATGGTTTAGATGTCCCCAGCTTGCCTGTTTGTGTGTGTTCTCATTCTTTAATAGTCTTCTCCTTTCTGTAAGTAAGGGTGTAGTCAAATCACCAAAACCCTGGGAGTATAAAGAATGGTTTATTGGGGACCAAACTGCCAAGATCTTGCAGAGGAGAAAAAATGCTGGGAAAGCAGGTTTTATGTGACAGTCAGCAGAGTGGGGCCTTTGTTCTAATACAGGCTGTTTCAATTGACTAATGCCCTTGTCAAAGTGAGCTTAGGGCAGTTTGAGAAGGGTCCCTCAGAATACAGGCCATTGCTGATGGGTTAAAAGAGGCTCCCTCCTAATAATCAGAAACCCTCTTAAGGTTTCCGTTTATGCAATAACAATCCTTCTGTTTAGGACAAAGTTCCACTGGGGGAGGGGGCTGGCTTGTTCTAACACTCCCTCCCTTCCTTATTTTTGTTGTTTGCTCATTGGTAGTGTTGGGGATGATTTGATAGTGCTATGAACTCACCTACTAGTTGGATCTAGCTTTGTGTTTTCATAGCAGACATTTTCTTTAAATGTTACAAATTCTTGATTTTAAGAATGAGGCAGGAAGGGCTGAAAGAAGCTTTGCCAGGTTAGAATGAAGCTCTGTGGGAAACGCTGGCCTGGCGTGCAGGAGGCCTAAGTTCTGTCTGCAGCGTCCAGCGCAGGCCAGGATGTAGATCAGTGATAGAGCACATGCCTAGCATGAGTGAGGGCCTGAGTTTGAGCCCCAGTACCGTATAAACCACGTGCATAGAGGCACATGCCTCTAATCTTAGCAAGGTAGAGGCAGGAGAATCAGGAATCAAGGCCAGCCTGAGTTATATACTTTTTGGTAAAAAAAAATTTTTTTTAGCTGGATGATCTTAGTCCCAGCACTTGGGAGGTAGAGACAGGCAGATCTCAATTTGAGACCAGACTGGTCTACAGAGTGATTTCCAGGACAGCCAGAGCTATACTACATAGAGAGAATTTGTCTTTAAAAACCTGAATAAAAGATAGATAGATAGATAGATAGATAGATAGATAGATAGATAGATAGATAGATCGATCGATCGATCGATCGATCGATCGATGGATGATGCTGTCATTTCCAGGGACACACACCCCCACCCAGCTAGCCACAAGTTGTTTATGTGAGGGCCCCTTTAGCAGCCCAGTAACGAGCTATAAGGAGCACAGGGGCAGTGCAGCATGCTGACTATCTCAGCCACAGCAGTGAGCAGATAGTGGTCCAGTTGGTTTTACCTACCGGCTCAGGAAAGACAGGATGTCGGAGTTGCCCAAGAAACCTATTTCTAAGCGTGTTTCTGCAGCATATCCCCTATAACTAGCAAATGGTGCTCTTTGCTGGGTTCTGAGACATGCTGTAGTCCAGATGGGAAGTCCACTGGCATTAGCATCTAGGTTTCAAGCTTTTCTGAAAAGAAGGGAAGAGACCAGAAGCAGAAGAGGGTTTGCTAGAGAAAGCAAGGGACTAAGGAACAAATAAATGTAGGTGTCACCACCATGGAGCCTGTAGGTGAACCCATACACCTCAGTGTCCTAAGGCTTAAGCCTGCGGACATCAGAGTACACAGTAGAGACCCTGAGTCCTCTGGGAAAAGGAAAGTATAGGGCTGTGTCACTTTTCAAATGGATTAAAGGTTAAAAGAGAGAAAGTTGAGGAGAAAGAAAAGGAAGTCTTTAAGGTGCCGCTGGCCTCAGGCCGTTCTGCTTGAGTAATGTCTCCTCTGCTGGGCTCAGGAACAAGTGAGGGTATGCAGGCGTGCACATGCCCGTTATGTTCCCGGTTGTAGGTAGGCGTATTGAGATAAAGGCTCAGCTTGGCAGGTTGGAGGACTCTGGGCTAAGCCCAGTCACTGCAGCTCCAGACACTAGTGTTGTAGCTCTCCTTACCCAGAATATAAAGGAGCTGGGCTTGACTGACCTCGTGGGTCACTTTGGAGCCAAGATGGAATCTTGAGCTCTGGGAAACAGAAAAGCCAGTTTGTGTTAGGAGGCGTCTGTTTGCTCCACAGCTGAAGTTAATTATACTGTCCATTGGTTATTGTTTGGGTTTCCCCAGGCTTCGTGCCTCTGCTCTGCTCATTTTGTTAACATTTCTCAAGCAGCAAAATCTTAGACACAGGAGCTGTTTGAGGAGGAAATACAAAGCATGGCTTGCCTTCCCTAGGAACCTGTCAGTGCAGGGGGAGCGTGAGTGCACAGAGGGAGCTAGGGAGCTGGCGGAGGACTGCCGTGACCTGTGGTGTTTGTGGAGGCCCTGGAACCATCCTGATGGCTCTCAGGACAGCGGGCTCCAGCTCTTTGGACTCAGCATGCACCAGGGCCATGAAGCACTGGAGCAAACCGCACAGCCTGTCCAGCAGGGCTTGTTGTCTGTGACAGCAGGTAGAAAAGGACTCTAGTGGTAACTGCCAGTGAGTAGGCTGGGACACATACAGATTGTGCCTTTCCACTGACGGGTGTGGCTGCGCCTCCTGTCACAGCAACCTCTTTTCTAGAAGAATCAGTAAAGTCTTACTGTTGTATGGTGGCTGATCAGGCAGAGTCCTTTCCATGGGTGTGTGCCAAGCCCAGTGTACTAATTCATACATGCTGGGCATGGTGGTGGACAAAGTGCTGCACCTTGAAATCCCAGCACTCAGGACAGATTATGATTTAAAGGCCAACTTGGCGTGGCATGACCTTATCTCAAAAGAGCTTAGGTAGGGCTGGGGATATAGTTCAGTGATAGAATTAAGCATATTGCTCAGAGGAGACTCCCTAAGGTGTATTATTTGGGCACAAACAGCACTGCAAAGCTGGGCATGAGCAGCAGGCCCAGGCACTGAGCTCCTGTGGTGGTCCATGGGCATTCAACTGCAGATCTAGAATAGGCAGACCCTCTGTGGCATATGTACCCTTTGACCCTGCTGGCCTAAAAGGTGACTTTTAAAATAACTCTGGTTTCTTCTGCTGCTGTTTTATGTTTCCTGTGACACTGCGGGGTCATGCAGAGCCCTGCGGCATCCTGCTACAGCCCTATACTCTACAGCCTTGACTCTGGCAACCCTTCTTTACCTACCATCCATATAACACAGATGCCTACATCTACCTTCTCTTCCTACCCCACCACCCTCACATTCCTTCTGTACTTGGTGCTCTGCTCATCCAATCAGATGAACCTGATGATGGGTAGAAAGCCACCACTGAGAATGGCCAGTGGGTGAGAAGTTGGCAGGTTATGAGTGCTTCAGTAGACATTCGGGGATGGGTAGCTCTCCACAGAGGGAGAGAGAGAGTCTGGCAGCTCGAGCCAGCAGGGGTGTGATGTCAGCATCATGACAGGAGCTAAGTGGAATGTGGCTTGAAGCATGCATCATAACCACATTCATGACATCCTGGGAAGCACGATGCAGAGCAGAGACCACATGTCGGAGAATAACTGGCCAGAACTCAGGAAACTAGAGCCCTGAGAGGGCTTACAGCAGGGATAACTCAGTCCAAGAAGGGAAGCGTCGGCACAGGGATCAGCCAGTCCTTCAAGGCTTTGGTTATTCACCTGGACTCTAGGTCACTCTGCTCTCCAAAACACTGGGGCTTTGTTACTCTGCAGAGTGGCCTGCTCCGGCAAAGCAAACAGCATTGCAGGGATTTGCTCTTGCCTGGGAAAAGCTGACAACATACCATGGCATGTTGGCCTATACAAAGGAGCAGTGCAGCCAGCCTGGCACCTACCTAAGAGCCAGCTCCTGTCAGCATTCTCTCCTCTGTCTCCCATACTACAGGAAATGTCACCTGCAGACAGGTGACAGACAGGAGGACTCAGAGTTAAGGGAGAGTCTCCAGGTAGATGTCAGGGCCCAGGTGAGCTGCCCATGTGCTTAGTGAACGTTAGGATGACCAGGGGCAGGTTGTACCCAAGCGGGCTGCAGTGCCTTTTCTGCTGCATGAGCTGGGGTCGTCCCAGCTCGGCTTCTCTGTCCTGTGTGCTGCGTGCAGTTCCACCTTCCATTTCTCCTCATGTCAGTCGCTCCTTATCCATACACTCTGCCTCTCCATCACCAGCTGAAGTTGTCTGGTACGGTGTCCCATAATCTTGTTTGTGGGACATTATGAGGATCGCCTGGTAAATGTCTTTCTTTCCTGTGAGACTGAATGCCAAGTGCAGAACACCAAGGAGCCACCCCAACTTTGCCTCTTCTGCTGTGACTGCTGCTCCACCCAGCCGCATGTTAGCTGGCCTGCTACAGTTCCTGGTGTGCCTCTGGCTCCCTAAACCTCTTGTCCTTCTCTGAGGACTGTCCCTTCTTGTTTCCAGCCTGCTGGGGTCACTTTGGTCAGCGTCCATTGTAGCCCCAATGACCAGATGCTGTGGGCCTTGGACAGCAGATGGAATGTGCACGTACGGACTGGAATCACCGAGGAGATGCCTGTGGGGACAGACTGGGAGCATGTGCCAGGTAGGGACAGTCCAACATGGATCCCATTGTCCCCCGCACAGTGGGAGTCTGGCTGGGCTAGCCTGCTTGGGGCACCCTCTCCCTTGGTGCCCAGAACCATACAGTGTCACTGTACAGAAGTCCTGGTGACCAACACAATATCTGGTGAGAGCAGCACTGGGAAGGGTGCGCTGTCCAGTGTCTTCCAGAGATGAGCTGATACCCAATTTGCCCACAGGGTTACAGGCCTGCCAGCTGGCATTGAGCACCAGGACCGTGTGGGCCCGCTGTCCAAATGGTGACCTCGCCCGCCGCTATGGCATCACAGACAAACATCCTGCAGGGGACTACTGGAAGAAGATTCCTGGAAGTGTCTCATGTTTCACAGGCAGGTGCTGGGGACTTGGTATCTCCTGGGGGTGGGGAGTGCATATGGAAAGAGCTGCCCCAACTCAGCTCTACATCCTACAGCCAGACCAAGGACGAGGGCTAGACATGGGTTCTGAAGGCACCTAACGGGAACAGGTGCTGCACTGCTTGGAACAAACTGCTGGTGCAGCTACGTACACTTGTAATCCCAGCACTTGAAAGGCTGTGCGGGACACTGTTGTAAGTTCTAGGCTAACCTGGGCTACATGGTGAGTTCCAGGCCAATCTGGGAAACAATGTGAGTCTCAAAAAACAGCTAAAAAATTAAATTGAGTGAACAAAGCACAAGTCGGGAATGACGGGCTCTTCCCCATCTCTGAGCCTCCAGACTGCACCGGGGCCTACTCAGCAGCTGTGTGCTTTGTCTCAGGCTGTGTGGTTTGCAAGACTGTGACTGGCTGTCATCTTTGCAGTGACCTCATCAGACGAGCTGTGGGCAGTGGGCTCCCCTGGCTATCTTCTCCAGCGACTGACAAAGACGTTCAGCCATTCACACAGTACCCAGAAGAACAGCCAGGCAGTCACCTCCCACCCTGAGGACCTGGAGGACGAGTGGGAGGTCATCTGAAGGAGCCCCAGGCAGCCAGTCAGGGAGGAGCTGAGGCTCTGTGATGGACGCTGCTGATCCCCAGTGGCTCGCTTATGGACATGCCTCTTCCACCAGGCTGGACACCCACACGGGCTTTCATCTGTATTTGTTTCCGTCTCCTCCAGAACTCACAGCCTCAGCCATGAGCCCGGAGCTGTCGCTGGGGCAGCGGCACCTTTGACATCTTGCCAAGGTCACCTCCAAGTGGGCGCAGTGGCTGCCGCTGCTCCATTGCATGCACTAGTTTCTGTGCACCACAGTAAATTCTCTTCAGCAACTCCAGATCCTGGTGTGGGGGCCAACAGGGACACTGCCACAGGCAGATGAGTCAAAGCCAGGAAGAGTCAGGCACATGTCCATACCAGAACCCCAGGCCAAACAGGCCTGCACACAGAGCTCGCAGCATTGGATGTGTCTGACAGTGTTGACTTCTCACAGGAACCCTCACATCTCTCCCAGAGATACAGGCCACAGTGTGCATCCCACACCAGACATCCCAGGTGGGAAGTACCTGTCCAGGATGGGGTACTGGACTGTGCAGGGTAAGGGTACACACACACTCTCGCCTCGTCATGTTGCCCACACTCGGGGTAGCTGCCCACCTCCTGCCCACATGGTCCATTTAGTCCAGCGCAGGGTGCTAGTCAGACTTGGGGGCTGAACTAATGTAGAGACATCTTTGGGAAGATTTGACTAGTGTGCTAGCGGGTACCCTAAAGCCAGGCACCTCCAGATGATCTAGTGATCACCTCTCCTTTGTCCTGTCACAGACCTGAGTAAGATACCTCATCTGAGATGCAACCTCCAAACAGAAGATGGGTCTATCTTCTGGAAACAGTGAAGGTCTTTTGGTCCTTCAGGAGGTTTATCCTAAGTCCACCTTGTCTTGGCTATAGCTTTGCAGGCGTGGCCATCCCCTATCATGTTCTCAACCCAAGAGTAGCCAGTGTCTTCAGTGAGCATAGCACTGACTTCCCCAGCAGGAGCAAACACTGCCTCCTGCTCACAGGTACCATGTTCCAATCACAGCTGGGACAGCAGAATTCTTTCCTCAGGCATCTGAGCTTCAGGGCAGGCTGTCCACTGTGTGTGTCCTTCCCTGAGCCTGCTGCCCCCCACCCAGGAGGTCCCTGTCACTACTCCACACCGGCTACCTTTTCTTTAGTCCACCTGGTCCGGGCAGTTACTTGATGTGTGTTTTTCACTAAGCATGTGTCAGGACCCTAGTACCAGGTCAAGCCCCAGCAGTCATGAGCAGAGGCTCCCAGGTCTGAGCAATGCCAGCTGCTGCAAGCCTTGGCTGCACTTTTATAGATTCCTTTGTGGAAGACTTAGACAGCAGAGGCAGCCCCACCTGGGCTGCGCCTCTTCTGTGAACGGCGTGCCTTGCCTGGCCCCTCACAATGGCAGTACCCCCCTAAGCCCGTGGGACAATAGTGCAATTAGTTAAACAGACACTTTAAACTACTTTGAGCTTCCATGCTTTATATGATTTTCTTTTTGGTTTGGTTTTGTTGTGATGTCCTTTGAGATCATGCAGAATCTTAGACTTTTCTCCAATGTTGAGTATAGTGACTAAGCAGGGAGGCCTGCAGAAGCCAAGCCCAGCTCAGCCACACTGCAGCGGAGCACCTCTGCCTGGTCTCAGAACTTGGATGGTGTTGAGCCAGCTTCCCCGGGTGGTATAGTGGGCAGTGGCTATTCCACAGATGGACACACCCACTGGCAGCCCTAGAGAGAATGCCCCCAAAGAAAGCAGAATGAAGGGCTGTCCTCAGACATCAGCCTTTTGTTATTGCATTGAGACAGTTTTATGAGGCCCAGGCTGGCCTCCAATTCACCATGTAGCTAGCCACAGATGGCTTTTTCTAATCCTCCTGCCTCCACCTTTCAAATTCTAGGATTACAGGTGTGTACCATAGTGCCCTGCTAAGATGTCAGTCTCCATGCAATGAAGTCTTTGAGTATAGTTCACTTTCAGAATCCCCACTGGGATCTCTCTCTTAGACAGGGGAATAATTAAAATCATGGTAGTACCCACATATACCCCGATTTACTGCTCAGGTCTCCTAGCTTGTCCCCTCCCAGAAAGGAGAGCATGGTTAGCCAGTGAGCCTTGGAGAGGTTGGGTACCTTATTCACAATCACACAGTGAACATGGGTCAGGACCTAGCTTGGCGAATCTGCTGACCTGTGCTGGTGCCAGCATGACCGGGCCCGGACCACAAGCAGCCAGGCAGCACCCTGCAGTCAGTATCGGCTTCTATAGGCACTGCAGGTGGAAGGAGACAACTGCACAGCTGCTGTGCCTACTGTTTCCATTTAGCACTGGAAACCTGCCTTTGCCTCCCGGAGGGCAAATGCTCTATTCACCCAAATGCTGGGACAACCACACGGAACTCATATGGAGATTTTTACATATTAAAGTGTAGAACCTGTAAATCAGAAATCCGTGTGGGGCTGGGGATGTGGCATGGTAGTGATGAACTGAGCATGCACACCACAACACAGACCAGAAACCCTACATGGACCCAGAGCATGCCTGCAAGTCCAGCACTCGGGCAGTTGTCAATCCTGGACCACACAGTAACAAAAACACTAAACTTAGATTGCCACAAACGTGGTACCCATGTTGAATGTTCACTGTAGGGACTTGTCTAAACCTGTAGGCGCAAACATTTCTGGGAAAGCCACTGAAGGGTCTTCGATCCAAAAGCCTCACTTTGGCCTCCTGAGCAGCTGTCGAGAACCGTCAGCTGGGACGTGTATATACAGTCCTGGCCCAGCACGCTGCTGCCCCTAGGTCCAGTCCTCAGAATGTCAGCGAATAATAGAACAGGGAAGGTGACACTGTCTGTGGATTTGAACACAGGCCTGTAAGGCCACAGGATGTATGCCAGCAGGGGGGCCCACGGGGATCTCACGGTGAAACTGCTGACCTATCAGTACAGCATGGTTTACAGAGAGAGAGGCGGACACTGCGGTGGGGGTGCTTCTTGTGCCTCGCCCTTCAGGAGGGGCAGAGACAAGTTCTCACTTCGGACAAGCAGCTGGCCAGTGATTCGTTTCCAAGTTTGTGTCTTTTTTATCCTTTGAATGTTGAGCCATGTAAATGTATTATTTATTTCAAAACTAAATAAAATTTACATTTTAGAAACCCAATTCTCTTAATTTTTCAGTATTAACAGTACTTGAGTCAAATACCACAAAATCGACACCACACACATTTTTAAAATCCTTTTCATAAAATACTGGGAAATGCTTATACCATGGTGATTTTTTTTTTAATGATTTGTTTTTATGTGCATTGGTGTTTTGCCTGCATGTATTTCTGTTGTGAGAGTGCTAGGTCCCCTAGAACTGGAGTTACAGACAGTTGTGAGCTGCCATGTGGGTGCTGGGAATTGAACCCCAGTCCTCTGAAAGAGCAGCCAGTGCTCTTAACTGCTGAACTATTTCTACAGCCCCTACCATGGCGATCTTAAAAATACTGAGTTATGGGGGGCGGGGTTCAGTGTGGAACACTTGGCATAGTATGGTTCCACCTCCCCAGCATTGTCCTTCACCCTCTACACCCCCCCAAAAAAAACCTCTGTAAGAAAACACCAAGATGCTTGGGCAGGCACTAGCTGTGAGCAGTGTGACCAGTGTCTCTCTCCACAGGAGCCTAGCCATGCTCGGGCATGGACTTTCCCCCACAATCCCAGTGTTCATTTCTATGTTTTGTGCATGTGTGTGTGGATGTGCGTGCTAGCACAAGTCGGAGAGCCCACTTTGTGGAGTCAGTCCTGTGCCTTCCACCTTTACACAGGTTCCAGGGATTAACTCAGGATTCCAGGCTTTACCCACTGAGCCACCTCGAAAGAAACAATTATGTCTAGATTTCACTGGAGGTAGAAATTTCCACTTCCCCCTTGACTGGGACAGTGGTTACATCTGTGTAGACATTAGTCATAACTCATCAAGTTACAAATTGATGCCTTTGTGTTTTATCATGCAGAAGTCAAATCTCAAGTTTATAGTCAGAGCCAGTCATCAAAGGGTGTGGGGGGCACTAGTACCAATTACTGATATTTACTTTCTTGAAGCAGATCATCAAAGGGTGTGGGGGGCACTAGTACCAATTACTGATGTTTACTTTCTTGAAGCAGAGACAGGCAGGAGTAACCTAGAACTCATTATGTAGCCTAGGCTGACCTTGATAATTTTTTGAGACAATCTCACATTACTAAAGCTGACTTCAAACTGGAGAAGTAGCCAAGGATAACCTTGAACTGTTTGCCTCCACCCTGTGAGTGCTGGGATTACAGGTGTGCACCACAGTGCCCAGCTTTATTTGGTGCTGGTGATCAAACCCAAACACTTTGTAGGTGCAAGGCAAGCACTCTACCCTCTGAAATATATCCTGAGCTCGGAAATCAACTTTTTTCCTAAGATTTATATGCATGAGTGTTTTGCCCCCATGAAAGTCTGCACCATATGTATGCCTGGTGGCTAAGGTGAGGTCAGAAGAGGGCATCAGATCCCCTGGAAATAGTTACAGACTGTCTAAGCTGTCATGTGGGTGCTGGGAACTGAACATGGGTCTGGAAGAGCAGCCAATGCTCTTAAGCACGCACTGAGCCGTCTCTTCAGCCCCTGGCTATGAACTCTTGATCCTCTGTGCTGGGATCACAGCCAAGCACTACTGTGGTGGTCTGCAGTTAGTGGACAGGACTCTAGCATGGTATGTGCTTCCCTCCTGCCTCCTGGGGAGCCACCTTGTCTGTAAAGGGTTTGAAGTAATGTACAGACCTGCCTCCCATGCTGTGACTAGTACAGAAACAAAGCCAAGGTTAAAGCAGATGGAGTCCATGTGGAAAGTGACACAAGCCAAGGACGGAGGCGGCAGCAGGCCACAGCACCAGGGCAGACCTGCCCCTCCAAGTCCAGGTGAGCACTCAGCAATGAGCCTCACTGTGGCTCACTTTCACTGTCCTTCCAAATAGGCATCAGGGGCCAGAAAATCTAGCTCCTGGACTCTCTAACTGGGGTGTGTGGTGCAGCTCTCCTGGGGACACATTTGACATTTTGTTGTGGGGCAGGATACATCGGTGAAAGGTGACATTCATGAAGTGAACAAATAAACCAAGGGAAGAACAGACTTGATCTTCTGTTTTGGGTCACCAAGGTCACCTCCTACTAGCTGGTAGTGAATGTCAACACAGAGCCTGGCAGGCTCCAGCCCCCTCCAGATCTGCTCAGTACTGCAAGCTCATGGCCAGGGTGACAACACCCAACAAGGTGGTCCTTCCTGGGGCTGGGGAGCCTAGGGGACAGATAAGCCACACGCTGAGGCCACCCACCCTTCCGCTCTCAGAAACTACCACCCGATAGGTGAAGCTTTGCTTATCAGAGAGGCACCACCTCTCCAGGCCTCCTGCTTCCCGAAGTGCAGATGTGACAGCAGATCTAGAACAGGAACCAGGCCTTTCTCTGAGGAGGCTGACGAGGCTTCTCCACCCCTCCTAGTAGTGAGGCCCCACCCAAATCAGTGTCCCAAGTGAGTCTTCCTTTGCCTTTGTACCCATCCAAGGCACAGGAGCTGAGGCCCAATCAGCAATGGTGACTACCATGACACTTATGTGCTTGTCACCATGAGCCAAGTCACCCCCCTTGGGCCTGATCCTCGTTTTATGGTGCCAATTCCTCCCACAAGGTTCCACCCTGCATCTTCCCTGGTGGCCACCACAAGGCCTAAATAGTGCACTGCCCCTCCTCCAGACCAGGCAGCTCTAGAGAGGCCATCAACAAAGCAGCAGTCTGTCTACCTGAAGGAGACAAGTGCTCCTAGCCCTCATCAGCAGACCCCAAAGGGCACTGGGCTAAGGAGACACGAGGGCAAGTCAACATTCTCAACAGGGGCCCAGCTTTCTAGGCTCCCCCAGGAGCTACTGCAAGCCACTGTTCATGTCCTGCAAATACGGAAACACCACCATCAATGACATCCTTAATCTGGACCCAGAACCTCCCAGAAGTCCAGGGGGACCAACCTTGAATGGGTCAAACCTGGAGTTGGGGAAGACATTAGCATCCATCACCCACAACTGCCAGGGCTCAGAGAAGCAAGTTAGGCAGAAGTAGAGCTTCCGATCTAGATGTAGGATCTGGACCCAGTGGTAACTTCTTGTCCCACTCATTGGTAGAGGGTGTGTGTCACATTTTCAGGCCTGAGAAATGACAGTAGTAATAGTAGGGCCCAGAACAGAGGTAGCAAGGTCTAGGGGCCCTTCCTGCTCTCCCCACCCTCCCTCCTGTGGCCCAGAACCCCGGCATGCTGTACTCAGGGGCACTGAACAGCAGGTGCCCCAGCAAGGCTGGCCAATTCAGCGGACTGCTGGCTTCTACTCCTGGCAGCACATCATGGCCCACAAGCCCACACCACAGAGGTTGAATTTCACAGTCCGGCGAAATCCCTGGGAGGGTGATCCAGCCCTCCTCCCCGGGCCTGAAGTTCCTGCAGAGACTCCAGCTCTGCAGTCACAGTCCCCCTACCCTGAAAGATGATGGTGCATTCATAACAAGCCCCCAATCTTCACAAGTTCCCAGCAGAAGCCAGCTCTCCAGGCCAGCCAAGAAGCTCGCCTAGGGTGATGACAACCAGCCCCGAGCCACATTAGAACCACATGACATCCACTGCGAGAGGGGGAGGAGCCCATCCCTGGGGTTGGGCAGGAGGCTTAGAAGGGACTCCTGGTCCTGATGGGACAGAATGCTGGGAACCCTCGGCCGCGGTGGAGCAGGTGCAGTGCCAGAGCTGAGCACAGAGGCCCAGGGCGAGCACTTGCCAATCCTGAGGGCAAAAGGGGACTACAGGGCCAATTCCAGGCCGGGGTGGGGAAACCTATGATTCAGAGTAAGATACTACAAACACACTCGGCCTGGCTCCTCCTCTCAACTCCTGTCACAGCTGCCTGCTCAGCCCTGCTCGTCCTGGACACAGAATCAAGTCCAACTCCACGGGCCCATTTACAGCACAGGACGACAGGTCAGACCTGCACAAGCCTGTGCTCTCGGCCTCAGCACATTCTGTCCTCTTGCTCAGTCGTGTCAGTCCCCACCCTCTGTCTCTGCTCCTCTCCTGCTTGGGTCAGCTGTCAACTCCCGGGGACTCCAGGTCCTCACCCATATCCGTAGCTGAGCAGGGAGCCAGTGCACTTGAGCAGGAGTGTGAAGAGCCAAGGCTCTCTTAAGAGCCTGCCTGACTTGGCAGCCCTAGCCCAAAGGCATGCGACAGACCAGGCAGGTTCTTCTGTACAGTCAGAGATCCATATATGTAAAGTGCCGGGTACAACACTCCCAAAAATACTTCTGTCCCCAAATACAATGCCAAGGGTGCCCCTGAGTCTAGCTCTTGCCCGTGAGGTCCAATGGCTGCAAAAAGGGTGGTAGAGGCAGCTCATCCAAGGCCTCGGGAAAGCGGCCGGGTGAGATGGTGGTGACCAGCACCTGCATAGCTCGCACAAAGAGGGAGGGTGGCGCCAGCCCTGCTAGCCACTGGAACTTGTCCTCACCCAGCAGCCTCTGCCAGCGTAGCCGGTCTCCCAACAGCTCACATCGCGCTGGGCCCGCAGCACCCCCCGAGGTGTACAGTGCCAGCAGGTCAAGCAGCAGCAGGCGGCGCTGACATAGCTCCCCAGGCGGAGTGGTGCTGGAGGTGGCAGCGTTGACAGTGGCAGAGGCGGCCTCAGCAGCAGTAGGGACTGAGCTGGCGTCCCGGCCCAGCTGGCGCAGCAGCAGCTCCAATGGTGTAAAGCCACCACCATCTCGCAGGCCTGGAGAAGCTCCATGGCCAAGCAGCAGGAAGAGGCACTCGGGGCGCGCAAGCTCACAGGCCACATGCAGCGACGTGCCACCACCCTCCACGCGGCTGCAGCCACGTCGGTCCAGAAGGCGCATGCGTTCTTCGAGTGGGAAATCCCGCACAGTACGCAGGATGCGCCGCAGGATGCCCACACGGTTGTAGCGCACGGCCAGCGCCACATGTGGTCCAGGTGCGTTGCAACAGCGGAAACCCGCACTAGGTGGAGCGAGGGCGCGCTGGGGGAAGGTGGCCAGCAGGTAGTGAGCATAGGCTTGGTGGTCGTGCACGAGCGCGTACAGCAGGGCCTCCGACGGCGAAT